AAGGAAGGGCACGGCAAGGCAAGGCAAGAAAATACAAATCAGTTCTGAAGGAGATACCCATATATTGTTAACGATAAACCCAATTAATTGACTTAAAGTTCAAAGAGCTAGTTTAGACACAAAGTCATCAAAGCCTGAAAAATCTGAGACTAAATTATTAGGTGAGAAACATTAGGCAAAAAATAGAAGATTTGTAGAAACAAGCTCTCATGATAAATCCATGAGTGATGAAGTAGAGTGAATCAAGACAAAGAAGGAAGTTTGTGAGCTCTATCAGCAAAGCATGCAGAAATTAGAGTGACTTTTCAGCCAAGGGCAGAGAGGGACTCAGAGAGATCCTCCTGAGTAAAAGTGTTTATGTTGCCTCATCAGAGATGCCTTCTAAAACATCCCTTTACTGAAGCACACTCCCCTCCCACATACACGCTCCACTATTCTCTATTCCTCTTTTATTTTTCTCTATCGACACTTATGACCACCTGACATATTATATATATTATATATGTGTTTATTTTGCACCTCTCCAAAAAATAATCGAGAATTGAAGCTCTATGAAGAGCTTTCTTTTGTTTGCTGATAACCCTCCACTGCACAGCACACAGTAGGTAACTGGTAAATATTTACTGATAATGAATGAATGAATGAACAAATGGCATAGACATCAGCCTTTAAGTAAGTGATTCTATTAGATATAGGAGAAAAGTTACTTTTGCAGCTATTTATAAACCACTGTAATTCACTGAAATGTGGAAAATCAAAACAATTTTGTAGTATGCAGATCGTATATTGCTGTAGTGAATTTTATTTTAGCATTTTGTATTTTAAAGAGATGCTGATCTCACTTTCTCTTTCACTGATAATCATAGCTTTTAAATTAAATTCCCACTCATTATTCATACTCAAAGAAAACTTTTAAGCAATCATAAATTTTATGACATTCCAAAATTGCAAATTATTTTCTATTTGCCTTTTAAGATTTTGGAGGTATGGATGGTTTTAGAATTAATAAAGCTGGCTACACATGTCATGAGATTATTGCAGTCTTTTTAGCAATAAAAGTAGCAAACACCCCACAGTGGAATGTAGCAGCTAGAGACAGGTGGAATTGCTATTTTCAGATATAAACTATGGACTCACCATAAGGCACAGCTGCAAGTAAAATTTATGACCACAAGCCATTGAATGTTTCTCCTGTTCACCAGACCAGGAGCTCCTGTGGAAGCAGAACCTTGGCTTGTCCATCTCCTAGCTGAGCCCAGTGTCTGGAACAGAGGGCTTCACTGTGAGTGCATACAGTGTGCCAAGGACAATGCCCATGAGTCAGGTTTATCCATTACAACTGTCAGCCACTAGCTTGATCCCAAAGGATAATGAAAGTGCTCACAAATAATAAAATCTGTTAAAATTCAATCTGGATAATGATGGCATCATACCATTACATTTTGTAAACTTGTCAAACAAGAGGAGGTATTATTTGGGTACCAATGCTATCCTTTTTTTAATCCTAAAAATAACTATATATCAAGACTGCATATTGTATAAACTACATTAATAAAATCAAAAAAAATGTGAAGACAATTGTTTTATACTGCAACAACAAACAATGGGATTGCCTGTACATTTACTTTTGAGCTGGTTTTTTTTATTTGTTTTCTTCACCTCAGTATAACTAAAACCAGGATTCTCCCACCCCCAAAGTTAGAAAATAAATCTTTAATCTATGTGAATGCTTGCTGAACACATTGTAAAAGAATGAATGAGAAAAGAGTCTTCTCTATAGCACATGATGCTAGTGTAAAAGAATAATTTAATATAAAGCTATTGTATCTTTGCTATCACTGTCATAATTATATAATTTAAGATAAGTTATTTAATTTTTTAATATTTCAAGTATAATTCAAGCGACATTTTTTTCTGAATCTCCTTTGGTGCTGTTTCTATCAGGGGGAAATAAAGACAAAAAAGAGAAAGCTTCACTAGAGT